TCAACAAGAAAAAGGCAAGTAATCCAATTAAGAACACAGAGACAACAGTCAGCCACCAAGCCTACGAAGAGATGCTCAGGAGCGTTAATCACTCAAGAGGTGCACATTGAAGCAACAAGGAGCTGTCATTTTACCCTAGCACTGATAGCAAAGTTAAACAGGAAACTGAAAAACAGGGAAACAAAGGCCGGCAAGAGTGCAGAGACTGAAACTCTCACATACGGCTAGTGGGCAAAATGGTGTAACCACTTTACAGTAGAAACCGGATGTCACTTTCTCAAAACATTAGGAGAAGAAATATCATCCAACCTACCAATCCTTCTACATGGTATGTAATCTAGAAAAATAAGAACCACGCTATGAATAGATATACGCACACCACGTTCACAAGAGCAAACAGACAGAAACAACCTAAATGCCCGTCACTGGGATAAATGGATAAACACTGTGTGAACACACACAAGGTATTCCGACGCAACGTTAAAGAATAACGATGAACCTGTGAAACACCTCCAAACATGGATGAGCCTACAGGTCTGTGGGAAATTAGCCAATCACAAAGGACAAATACTGTATGAGACCAATATCATCAAAATTCAGGAAAAGGGTTTTTTTGGTGTGTGACCATTTCCAGGAGTGAAAGGGGAAGGGAGGGGGGAGGAGACGGGGAAGGGAGGGAGGGAACATAAGTACTAACTGGTGAAGGAGAAGGAAATCTACAACAGGAGTAGACAGTTAAGTATACAAGACCAAATATACCAAAGGGTGCACAGTAAGACTGGCTGAAGATGATGACGGCAGGGCAGGACACAGGGAGGTCAGCAATGCTCTTCTAGACACAACCCCCCAACAGTGGTGACACGCGGGCAGATGCTCCAGAGACGTGCGGGCACACAGGTCAGGGAGGGCGAGTGGGAGTATACCTGTGAATACATTGATTTGACATGTATGTGTTCACCTTTGTTGCAAACATATTGAAGACGGTGGCGTATACGAGGGGCAAAGTTATGAGACCCTCTTCGACATAACCACACACTTTGAGGGAGTAAGGTGCTGGGCCTGAGGAGTTGGACCATTGTACCAGGGGTACCAAGGTAAGCGACCTATCAGAGTCCACAAAGACAACGTTCTACCTTGGTGAATAGTGAACAGCCAGCTAAGATGCACCCATTGGTCTCGCTTCGCTTTTGAGGAAAGAGTAACTAAAATCAAAAGACACGTAACAACGAGTCTAATGGACTCCGTAAACATTCTCCACCACTCGAGCGGCACACCATTACCCACGGCTCTGACAAAGACGACTTCAGTGGGAGGAAACTGTGGAACAGAACTTACAACCACTGCTTGGATAGAGACTGGTGGAGCCCCCGAGACGATGGCCCTTAGACACCCTTCAGGGCTGGAGCGGACTGAACTCATCCCGGTGTGAGAGAAAATCGACTGCATCAGATCAGAGAGGCAGCACGCACCCACGAACAAAGTTCAGAGGGTCAGAATAGGAGGAGGAA